TCGTATTCTGTATTTCGCGCCTACAGATACTTTCATTTTCCACCAAACTCGTGGAGGTGGGGTGCTTATTTCTGTATCAAATTTGTTGCACGGTATCATGCGAAGACATGACCTTGAAACGACCAAAGAACATGTGTGAATTGAAATACTTGTAAGCGACAATTTCAGTCTACTAATTGATCATTACTTCGCTCCTGATAGCAATGGCACAATTATTGACAGTACTTAAACTTTCTGGAACAAAACGGGTGATAACGATAGGTGATTTTAATGTACCTGACTATGACCGCATTAATGACGCGCCATTTCCCAATATTTACTACTACAAAAATATGAAAGTAAATTCAGTTCCATGGCCACCTGCTTTCTTCGTCTTGATCAACGCAGTAACTACTAGTATATCATATATAATTCACTATTCGATTTACGTAGTATTCTCAAATATTCGCGACATAAGCGCCTCTATTTCAAGCTGTTAGAACTAATTCGTTTCATCACATATAACTTTTCTTCTGTGGATAGTCTGCAAGTTTTATTTACGTCTTTCGAAGCTTGAGCACGTGTCTGACGTCTGGAATAAACTTACTTTAGCAGATTCTAATATGCTGGAAAACATATAAAGAAAGTTCGCAAATTTATGCCATAATCGATTTATTCAGCTCAACTCTTTTTGGAATTAAGAATCAATGTTAAATTATTTACATTTTAAAGCGCTTTATTCCAGGCGACAGACCCTTGACACTTAGTTACTTACTAACGTTTTCAAGAACAAAATTGACTGTTGCTGTATTATGGATACTGCTGTTCTCCGCGTGCCCACTAAGCAAATGAGGAACTTGCAACTTGCCGGAGTGAATGAAAGCAGAAGTAATTGTGATACTGCAGATGGCAGTAATTGTGAAACTGTGATTTGTATAAGTGTAAGAGCCAATGTGGATTAAATTCGCTACATTAAATACCGCGTAAAGTTATTTGTCGCGTTACAAACACCCAACTCGTGACAATATTTTGATTCATTATCACTCGTTGAGGTAATCACAGCGTTCAGATCGTTAGTTCACAGGCTGAACAATTATCCTGTATCTGTATTCTTCTTACATGCGTTTTAATCATCTTTTCGCCTGGATGAGCGAGGTAGAATCACGAGAAATATAATCACAGCGTGGCATTCGACAGACACTTGGTCTCGAGAACTCCCATGAGTTTCCTGAGTGCCACTGCGCCGAGTAAGCCACGTTCTGTAGATACGCTGCCGGGTACTGTGGGTAATAAACCCGGAATTAATGTCGGAAGCGGCCCTCACCCCTTTCTTCTAACAAGAGGAGGAATAGGCGAGCATTACCACGCAATGGCGTCCCGTTCGCTTGAAGGTACTAGGATCGAGCCTCACAAAGATGCCGGGGGTTTGTATCTCTTAATTGTCTGTGACGAACAATTACACAGTGAAGGCCATGAACTTCTGTGATATGGCCCCATGAAACCCGATAAAGTCCACCGGTGTTATGGAGGAACCTGCTGCCTCCATCTTCAGGGTCCAAGAGTAAGCTAAGCAAGGAGCGAGTAGAATCAGGTGACAAGAAATTGCTTCAAAACTTCGGCGAACGTTTAACAAAGTGCACAGCAATAAACTCTTGGAGACTCATTCCTCACAGTCGCCGCTCTGAGAACTTCAAGTCCCAGATATTTACATTCCTTTTTGCGAACGTTATGAAGCGAGTACAGACGGACGTTGCATGGGAACCGCTCTGTAAACAATGACCGTTGCTAGGCAGTGGCCCAGTAAGTATCGCGTAGTGATCCCAACAGACACAGACGCAACAGTATAAGACGGCGTTTTATAAGCGGTCCGTGCCGAAGATATATATATATATAACTCCACCGTAACCCTGAGTCGAAGAAGACGATGAGAAAGGAACCCAGTGCCTGGGGGTATAACTGGGCCATCCAGTTCCTGGGGGGTGGGTATAAATACGGGGACGTGGCCTTCCAGAATGGGGGAGCCTCGAATCTGAGACAGTAAAATACGGTCCTGAGTCCCGCGGGACTCGGACCGTAGATTGACTGCGCTGGTGAGGCCCAGCAGCACTTGTAAACGACAGACCCATCCTCTCATCAAAGAGGGTGTTACGTAAGGACTATAACTGCAAGAGTTCAGCTGAAAAGAGAATCGATGGTCATGAGTCTCAAGGGGTTTGGCACCAAGACGAGCTGATTGACAGTAAACCGCCAGTGGTAAAGTAACTCTGACTCTGACATTAGAAGTCAGTCGAGAGAGAGAGAGAGTCTGGAAGCAGAGCCAGTTAGAGTTGCGGTAACTGAGGCCGGGGACAATTCAATAACCCAGAGGAAGGGGAACATCCGTCATTGGAAGCAGCTACCTAGCAACGGCATTGAAGACCGTGACTAAGACTGTGTGTGAGACAGCGAGATGTAAAGTGTAATCACGTGTGTGTGTGTGTGTGTGTGTGTGTAAGAGTTCAATAAATCCGGTTATCAATACAAACCCCGTCTATAGTCACTCGATCACGTGATATGAGTTTCGGAAAATGGTACCTTCCTATGTAAGATTTGAGGTTTTCACGGCGGTGACTATGAAGAAAGCAGTCTTCTGGGATAACACAAAACTCTGCCTCTGTCCCAGCTCCCCCCCCCCCCCCCACTCCACTGATTTCACTTGTATACTTGCTCTTCCCCCCTTCCTTCACTGCTCTCATACAGCTGTGTATATGTCCAACACCAGTCTGCTTGTACGGTTTCTCACGGTCTCTTCGCCTACGGAATTCTTATATTTTTCCTTCTAACCTGAAGATGGAGGCGATACGTTCCTCCGAAGCGTCGGTTAACACCACATATATACGGTGCCAAATCCCAAAAGACTGATTTCTTCGGTACCTTACTAGTTTACTGACTTTCTCATTCTGTAACCAGTCAAGTACAGGGTCAGATACGAGGCTCCCCACTTAAAGATCGAGGATATGAAAATGTGTTGCCTCGTCAGGATGTTTATGGAGCAATGGTAGAATGATGATTAAGCAAGGGAAAACCGAATACAATTGGAGAAACACCTGTTCCACTGGCAATTCCCCCACCACCTCAGAACCGGTGGAAAAATAGGAGGTAGGCGGGCACCTGCTTCTAGGCAAGAACAGGCTTAGGAGGCCCTAATGTATGAAACACCGAGTAGCCAGACTCACGGAAGTAAGTTCTTGTGTTCCGCGAGATTTCCGGTCCGGCGGTTTTCCTTCCCATCGAGTGCTGAAAACAGAACCTGGCAACGTCATGGTCTTACGTCGATATTTACTGACGACACGCAAATTATGAAACACCTGCCTTGAGTGGGATTCGAACCTACGATCCCAGCATTCGAGGGAGCACAAGACAGTTCTGCCTTAGACCGCTCGGCCACTGTGTTGGGCAGACTAAGTATGCTGAGCCCTTCAAATTTGGAAGCCTGGCGGTTATCTGAAGAAAGTATTAGTCACATGTATTGTCACGTGTAGAAGGGGTTTGGATAGGCGAATCAATTTATTGGATACTCAAAACGTCGTTAAGTGTAAATAATTATAACACTCTCAAGACTACCGTAACACTTCAAAGATTGCTGTAACTAGAACACATAAACTGAAGTCTTCAACGTCTGTTAACACTTCAACTACTGAGCTGCCTTCTCAGTTCTCTTCGATTGAAGGAATATATCCAAGTCCAAGTCACATTGCGACTGACGGTCAGTCAGTCAGTAAATCTTAGTGTCGAGCCCCTTCTAGGGCTCATGACCAGATATTTATTACTCTTTGGCATTTACGGTGTTATTTTCGTGGGGCGCCCTCTCTGACGAGAGGACGGGTCTGCCTTTTGTATTTGCTGCTGGCCCTTATCAGCACAGCCTTTCTCGGGTCCGAATCCCTTGGGACTCGCGACCATATTTTACTGTCTCAGATCTGAGACTTCCTTTTCGTCGCCTTCTACGACTTGCAGAGTCACGGTGGAGGTATTCGACCCCACCTCCACACGGGCTATCCTAGCGCGGCTAGGATAGAACGCACCTCCTTGAAGAGTTTTGTTTTCTCATATCCGTAGTAATTGTTTATGTGCTTGTTGCCATGGGAACATGTTTGCACTTGCAACTTAGGCAACGCTGTGTACCCTGCTCTTTGCTGTAACGGAAACACGATTACCGAGCCGTTGTCTAGCAATGGACGTTTCGCTGTGGCTTCGATATTCCGACTTCGAAGCATCATGTCACAGTATTTAAACATTTCTTCCTCAAAGAAAAGACTGGATCTATTTCCATCCTCAGATGTAAGGGTGAGGACACCTACTGTGCTGGGTCCGCAAGAAGGGGCTGACGACCTCAGTCACTGCACACTGCACACTGTCATCACACCACTGTAGAAAAAAATCCGTAGCATGTAGTCCGCAAGTGAACCATACCGAGCGACCGCCGCTTGTAGGCGAAATTAGTTCCAACGTTTGCGGATAGTGTGTGTCGCGTGGTCAGCGCAACGGATCCTCATGGCCGTTAATTTCGATTTTCTAGACCGGAGCCGCTATTTCCTTGAAATAGCCCCTCAGTTATCCTTACTAGGCTGAGTGGACCCCGTTCCAGACCCACTACTTTCAGACCGCTGTAGATCTGAGCTATTTCTTTCCACCCTCTCTCTCTCTCTCTCTCTCTCCATTCTTGACAGAAGATTACTAAGCAGTTTAGGCCGTGCCGTAGCCCAGTCGGCTATTCACGGGCTTTCCATCGCTGTTGCCCTGCGTCGATCCCATGTGGGATTTGTGGTGGACAAAGTTACATTGGGGCAGGTTTTCGAGGTATCATTTGAGATTCACTTATGTGCCATGATATACGTATACATATGAAGATTTATAAAGACTGTTTCAGGCATTCAAACGTTAGTAGACACACACAGACAGCGTGGAGATCGCATAAGCCTACGTTCATTTTTTCGCGAAAAAAAGAAGAATGGTTTCTGCTGACACGCGGCAGCACTTACCTGTGGTTGCACTGTTGACAGGCGAAGCACTCCAAGTGGTACACGTTGTTCCTGGCCCTCATCACCATCTCGAAGGCTGGGATAACCTTGCTGCACGCCGCACAGTAGCCTGTGTTGCCAAACAACCTGTGGGCCAGACAACAGGTGTCAGTCTGTAGGTGGCATGTTGACTAGTACCGGCCAGGGTTTCGGGAAACAGAACTCGTGGATTATACAGAACGTTATTCTAAATGAGAAGGTAGGAAGTGTAGAGGCACATGATTGGAATGAACCAAATTACGGGAAGGGGTTAGGAAGGCTTCCGAATGTGGTTTTCTTTAGTTTTGGGGGTAGGGTGAGACTGAGTCCACTTGGTACGTCGGCCACTAATTCGCCTGTTGTACCAGCCCCGGATGATGAGTGTAGAGCAGTCGGTGGAATAAGAACTGGTAGGGGAAACCGAAGTACTCAGAGAATTCCTACCCCAGTGCCACCCCATATGACCTGACCCGGGCGGGAACCCGGGCTGCTGCGGTAGAAAGCCGACGTCTAACCGCCTTTTCCTGAATGTAAGCCGCAATGAAATGACTGTGACGTGGCCCAGGATGTTAGTCGACAAATCCACGCCGCGGTGGCCCAAGTTCAATCCCAGGATAGTCCAAG